AACTCCTGCATTCAAAAGAACTAGCGAATAACCCAGGAACAGAAGTAGTTACTGACCCCATCCTGAGAATGGTACATCCTGACTACTCGTAACACTTTGACGTGAAAAGTTTCCACTGTCTTCCTGGAAAGTGCGATTTCATGCATTTACTTCATGACTTTATCCAAGACCGGAGAAACTCTAGGCACCAAGAGCTCCAGGCCGTCCCTCCGGTGTGCAGGAGGAAAAGAGGGCTCTGGGTATGTTCTCCCTCCCGTCCCCCCCCTTGCGGCCCCACCCGCCACGCCAGGTGGTCCTCACCGGTCCTCCACGGCCGTTGCACCAAGCAGAATCAGGTCCTTCTCGATCTGCTCGTAGGCCTCGGCCAGCTTCTTCTCCCGGTCCTGCAGGGCCACCTTGGCAGCCTGCAGCAGCCCGCAGACACCCTCGTACTCCTCAGGGACGAGCCTCTTGTAAGCCACACACAGAGTGCGGAGCCCCTCCTGCCAACACAGGACAACTCCGTGTCCCCTGCCGGAACTGCTCTCAGCGTCCCCCTAAGCGGAATGGTAACCACCTGACCCTCGTTACCTCTGACGCACTTATGCCCACAGCCACACAGATCACAGAAACCTGGAACAACTACGACCAGTCCGGGCCCTTGCCCAGAAGACAGACTCGCTCCGCTGCTCTGACAAACGTGACGCTCACTCAGCCCGCGTGCAGGACAACCACGTCCCATTTTGTCAAGCGGTTCCCACACGGTGCCGTGTGGGGCGCTGGGGCGGCACTCACTGCAGGACCCGGGAGTTACTGATCACATCACTGGGTGCACAGGTTTCTCACAAGGGACGGGCAGCTGTTCGGTCCATGCACCCCACCGGACGCCTTCGACAGCTCACGGTGCCCGTTCAGGGATGAGAACGGACACGGTGGTCCGTCCACAAGAGTCACTACCACCCGGGAGAAAAAGGACCAAACCTGGGCTCCCACGCCCACAGGGTGAATCTCAAGACAGTTACTCATGTCCAGCGAAGAAAGACACTGACATATTATTTTATGATTCAGATACAGAAGGCCAACAGTGAGCCTCAGTCTACCACAATAGCAGGCTAAGCAGGAGTCTGCTCTGGGCAGGGGACAGCTTAGGGCAAGGATTCCTTGCATGGACACACAGGTCTCGGCTCGCCGGCCTCAATGCCCCACTCTGCACAGGTTCACGCAGGCAGTTACAGCTCAAAAGTGTTTCTTTCTTTGAAAAAGCAGATGTACTTAAAATTATCTTAATTAACACGGTGCGTGCATCCACGCTCCAGGAAACATGCTCCCTTGGATGAGCAGGGCACCCCTCCAGAGGGCCCACAGGACAAGAGGTGCTGTCTACTCCTCTCCAGGTGCCCATGGGAGTTTGGCGCTAGCCGGTTTGGGGATGCCCACTATGTCTGTGGAAGGCTGCTCAGGGAACTGCAGTGGTCCCGCATGGAGAGAATGTTTGTGTTTAGGGTTTTAGAAGCCAGAGCAGGAAGCTGTCCATCCCCCGGGCATCCGTGTCCCCCCACGCCTTGTCACCAGGGGCACGAGGAACCTGGAAGGTCAGGGCACCAATGGACAGAAACTAGGTTTTCTGTACAACATGCTGGTGAATGGTGAGCCCAGAGCCCTCCAGCACGAGGAGGCAGGTTAGCTGAGGGAAGGCTGAACTGCCCCAGTGGGACGAGGAGGAGTGTGACCCGGCAGCTGCTCCTCACCACAGCGTTGCGCTCCACGCGGGACCGGATCTGGTCCACTTTGCCTTCAATCACTCGGGGGAAGATGGAGGAATCTGCTCCTTTGCAGAACAGGTAGATTTCCCCTGTCAAACGAGATGAGAGGACACCTGCTCACAACCCGGGGAGAGCAAGTCACTCCTCAAGTCTTGCTGTTATGAAAAAGCACAAACCAGGGGGCAGCATGGAGACATAAGCAGGTGGTACCCGGCCTGCAGATGCCCGGAGCCCCGTTTCATTCCTACAACCCAGAGGCAGGAGCGGGGTGCAGCCAGTGACAGCGGCTGCTCCTGGGCACAGACAAGGCACAGGGCGTGTGGTGACCGAGGGTGGCACTCTGCTGAAGCACGGGAAGGTGAGCCTAGACCCCTTCAGACGAGATGGCGGTGCTGTGTGTGGTGACAGGACCGTCCTCGGCGGGAGGCACCAGGGGTGGCAGGCCAGTGCCTGGCCCAGCTGACTCTGGGGTGGGCACGGCCCTGAGCAGTGTCTGAGACCAAGGCTCAAGCTCAGTGTACACCAGGCATCCATCATGCCTGTCCCCAAATCCTGGGAGGCCCCAATCTCCAAGAGGTGCAAATGGGGAAAACCTGAGACACGGTCGGGACCTTTGCTCTAGATGTCACACGATGACCTCACACAGGAGGCCCCAACGTCAGCCATGATGATGTTGACCATGACATCACTGGTAGAAGGCCATGCTGTCATGATGTCACCTACAGCCCAAGGGAGTGTCAGTGGCGTGGCGCTGCATGAGCCTGGGCCACAGGCGGCTGAGCAGAGGACAGCACTCAGAACAGCAATCTGAGGGTGCCGAGTCCGGGAGACCCCGCAGGAGCGCAGGCTTAGGTCCATGGTCACTTGCCACTCAGGCTGAGCTCAGGTCCTCCATTACTGCGGGTCACTCCCAGCTGGTGCTGGGTCATCAGCAGATGGCATGTTCTTGTTTTACAGTGTGCGTCACTTAAGCCCCCACCGCCTCTGCCAACCCTCTGCAGTCACAGTAAGACACATGACACCATCAGCTTCCGAACACAGAGCTTGCCCGTGTCCAGAGCACACAGGAAGTGTCACCTACCGAAGCACGGGAAGGTGAGCCTAGACCCCTTCAGATGAGGGGCAGGGGCAGCGGCGCTGGTGTCCGGCTCAGACCCGCCTTTCCAGTTGTGTGTGCAGCTGCAGGGTCCCAACAATGTTGTGTGGGGGACACAAGGGAACACACGGGCTGTGGTCCCTTCCAGGGCTCAGCCCCGGGGGCACTGACTTCAGGACAAGAGGACCCAGATGCAGGACTGGTCAGAGCTCAGGGTGGACACGACTTGTAGCTCACAGAGGAGCGTGGCCATCGCAGAGGAGGTCCTGGACGTCAGCGCTCATGTCTTCCACGAACGGAAATCCCCAGTGCAGCCGAGTGATCGACTCCCCATGTCTGTCCCCAGATCCAGGTGGGCAACCCTGTGGCCCGTACCCTGGACGTCCAGAAGGGGTTTTCTGGGCTCTGGGCTGCCCTGTGATGGACGGGGCGGGGTCCAGCTCAGCCGGCTGCCCACTTCCACCTCTCACAGGGCTATGGGGCCGAGCATCACGTGTGTCCCCAGGCTGCCCTGCCCTTGGGATGCCCAGCTCAGTCCCGCGTGTGGACGTGGCTTGGAGCAGGCCAGGCTGTGGTCACTGGTCTTCAGCAGCCCTGGCGGGGGGCATGCGGTGCTGTGGTGGCAAGGACGCCTGGGCCTTGGGGCCCACGCCTGATTCTCCCCAGGCTGCTGAGGGGCCGTGTGACCTGGATCTCGGGATGGAAGCATCAGCTGGCGAGAAGCGGCCCTCACCCCCAGGGTCAGGAGCGGGGCCAAGCCCAGCTCAGCAGGCATCACAGGCCGAGGGGCTGAGGGTACTCCCACCCTCGAAGCTCTGCTCCATGCTGCCAGACAGCGCAGGGCTGCAGGCCAGTGCACACCCCATCGGCAGGGTGGCCACCTGCCCAGACGGAGCTGTCCGCACCTGAGCCTGCTCTCAGACACCACCTTGCTGGTCCTGGCCAGGCCACCAGAACCTTTCTCTTCGAGTAACATGAAGAAGCTGTTATGGTCTCACACCCCACACCCTCCAGTGCTCGTCCAGTCAGCCTATCCTGCTCGCTCCTCACACTTGGTGATCCATTCTAAGGTGATGCTGTAGGCTCGGTGGGAATGGGTTTGAGATAGAGGGCAGGTTCCCCAGCAGCCACAGCGCCCTCTGAGGCTGCTGACCCAACACAGGCTCCGGTCCCTGGGTGGCAGGTCACAGGATATGGAAGTGTTTCAGTGGTGTCGCAGGAGACGGGAGAGGGGAAGGTCTGGCTGGTCCCAATGCGAACAGCAGAACGGCTCTGCTCAGGAGGTTCCCTGCTTCCTTCACATCACATACCCTCGCTCAGCAGCAGTACCGGGGGCTTGGTGGTGCTGAGCTCTCTGGGATCGGGTCTGCAGCCAACCCTGCCTTCCCTCTAGACAAGGTTATTTGGGCACACGTGCAGCTCAGAGGCAGGACACGCAACAGAAATGAGGTGCAATGTGAACTTTTCAGCAGTGCAACAAGCCCAACTCAGCACCAAGGAGCGTGCCCGAGGGAGTGCAGCCCTGAATTCAGACCCTCACGTTTAAAATGTTTTACTTTTCAAAAAACAACAGCTCTATCTGTACTGAGGGAAATAAGAAGAAATGCTTCTCAGACTCAAGTCCTCCAAGCTCCTAGCCAGCAGCCCCTGGGGCACACAACACGGATCCGAGAAAACTCTACCTGTGGTGGATCTGACAATGACACTCATCCTCCTCCTCACAGAGTCGAAACTCAGAACTTCCAGCAACTCGAACCTGGGAAGAGAAGGGAGAGCTGCAGTCTCTCTGGGCCTGGGTGTCCGGCACGGAGCCGGGTGGTGTCCTCTCCCAGCCCGTCCTACACGTGGGCACCCCCAGGCTGGCCCTGTGCTGGCTCCAGTCCTTGGATGCATAGTGGGGCCAGTATGGGCCCCAAACTGGCCTTGGGGAGACTCCTGGTGCAGTGGAGTCGCTCTGCAAGCCGTGGCCTGAAGGCCCTGTCCTGAAGACCCAGGGCCCGGTGTGGCTGGGGCATGGCAGCCTGGCAGCTGTCAGCCTGCAGCTCCCCGGGCTCTGAGGGTGGCGGGTTCTGGTCTCCGCAGCGGCCTCACCCCTGTCTGCGGAAGCTGGAGCCTCAGCCACAGCGAGTCATGGCTTGTAGGAGCTGGCTCTACCGGCAGGAGTCACCAGTCTAAGGCCAGGGCTGTCCCCAGGCAGAGCGCTCTCCAGTTACCACTCACTCAGGAGCTCACTGTGTAAGAGTGACATTGTAGAATCCAGTGTTTTGAGGCCGTCAGCACCCAGTCTTCTGTCCCTCACCGCCTGGTGTCTGTCACTATACTCCCTATCCACTCATCATGCAAGCTCCCGGGCAACACTCTAGATATAAGATGTGTCCCCCCTCATCTTAGGGACAGGCACTTGGGACTGAGATGCCCCCATATGGAAGATGGAAATTGAAAAGCACAGCTATGCATCCACATGGTGGTACGTGCCTGATTCCTAGCTACCCAGAAGGCTGAGGCACGATGATGTCAAGTTCAAGGCCAGCTTGAGCCATGTAACGACTAGGTGAGACCCCTGCCCTCAGTCTAAGAACAAAAATACCTGGAGTGTTGCTCAGTGGCAAAGCACCCCTGGGCTCCAGCCCCAATACTGTTTTAATAAAAAGGTAATTTCACAAGCTTTTCAGGGCAAATGGTGTTCCATGACCTGAACATGGAGTCATATGTGGGGACAGTCAGTCACTTCTTCCCTCTGCAGAGTGAGAGGGCCAAGGGAGGGCGGGACATTTTAGCAGCCTTGAGAAGGCAGAGGTTCTAGAGGCCAGGAGTGGGTGGGACATCCCAGGAGCCTGGAGAGCTCCTGTAGTAACCCATCTAACTGAAACACGTGACGATGGAGCTTTTCAGCGCTGCCAACACACCATCCGTGAACATCACAAGGAGAACTCCCGACACCACCACCCACTCCCTGCCCACATCCAGGGTCTCCAGAGGACACGAAGCCCTCAGGGCTGGCCCTGGGCAGAGCGGGGCTGAGGGCCTCACCTCTCGATGTCTCCATCCCTGTTCAGGATCTCCATGTAGCTGTCCTTCAGCCGCAGGTAGGTGAATCCCAGCCTGCAAGGAGCGGACTGTGTCAGCGTGGCCGAGCCCTCCTCCCGATGGGCTCCCGCAGTCTTCTGAACAAATATTCAGTAACCTCTCCGCCTGCCAGGACCCTAGGCTGGGCGGGGGCTCACAGCATGCAGGACACTCGCCCACAGAGACACCCGTCCCGAGTCTGCCAGGAGTGCAGCAGGCGAGGCCCGTCTCTCAGAGGGACCCGGATGGAACTGAGCGCCCCAATCACACAGGGGCAGGTGCTGGGTGAGCGCTGGCACCAGCGTGGCAGTGGCTGAAGAAGGGCCTCCTGGCAGTGAACAGCCCTCGCCATGCCAAGGGCGACACGTGAGGCGCGGGAACGTGACACCCGCTTCCCCTTGTAGGTACATGTGGTGTGCTGTCCTACGACTGCAGGTGGCAGGAGGGACCCACACACTGCCCCGACTGCCACAGCCTCCCAACAGGCCCAGGGCACGCGGTGGGCAGGAGCTTCACTCAAGAACCAAGGCGTGTCGGGGCAGGCCCACCTCTGCACGCCCTCCACCAGCGCCACCTCATCGGGCGAGGACGAGATGTATACGCAGGATTTGCCTGAGTCTGGAGACTTCCTGGGGCCGTCCACGTGGTCCTCGTCCTTCACCTGGACAGTGTGGCAGAGGCAGAGAGCCCGGAAGAACAGCTCCTCTCGCTCCTGCGGGGTGGCACAAAGAGCCATGGCAGGTCCACGTCTAAGGGGGACGGGGATGGCACGCGGGCTCGGGCAGGGCCTTGGGGACCAGCGCCGCTCTGCCTGGCGGCTGGGGAGTCCGCATCGCGCCCATGTCCTCAAGCACTGCTTCAGCATTCAGGCAGATGGCGGGGGGCGGGGACCAGGGCGAGGGTGATGCCCCGAGGAACTGAGGGGCTCCGGGGGCATGAGGGAGAGGCCCCGGCCCCTCCATGCTCCCCAACACCTGTTCTGCTGTCCGGGCACTGTGTGACCAAACCTCAAGGCACCTCGCCCCCCATGAGCCCTGTGCTTGCAGCCTGATGCTTGGTAGCCACGGAAATCAATGTTCAGGAAACTGGGCGACGTAGACATAGACCCGCCCGCGGTCGGGGCGGCTGACGGGACCTGCGGCTGCCCCGGCTTGGGTCACTCCACACAGGCGGCCTGAGGTGCAGTGTGCGTGGAACAGCGGGGGGACGGAGGGCCACAGACACCCGCTCCCCTGCCCTGTGTGCGGACGTCAGCTGACGCCCAGGCAAGAGGGTCACAGTACACTGGCCATGGGACAGGCACCATGCACGCCTGCAGTCTCTGGCCAACCAGAGCCCAGGACCGAGTTGTGCCCACAGGGCGGAGATGGGTGTCTGTGCAGCTATGAGCCTGCACATCTATCTGCACATGTGTGTGACTGCCTAAGCTACATGCGTGTCTGTGTGCACACATGGGTGTTCACACTCACAGTACACTGCCTGCCTCGCCAGGGCTCTGAGTCCGGGTTGGGACTCCCTGGTCACCCACCGGAAGGGGACACAGTGCCCACGCAGCACCAGACCAGGCCCCTCCAGGTCCTACCGGGGCTCCTGCCTTCCCCTGACGCCCTAATGAAAGGACATGCCCTCCGAGAGTCACACAGATGCACACACGCCTGCCTCGAGGGCAGCACGGCCTACCCTGCTACTGACGCCTGGGGACGAGTCGATCATGTCAATGCCCGTGGAGTCGGGCAGCACCTGCCCATTGCAGATGGCATGCGGTACGTAGACGTGGCCCTCCACACAGCACTCCTTGAAAGCCATGTTGTTCTCGGTGAGGGTGCCTGTCTTGTCAGTGAAGATGTACTCCACCTGTGGGCACACATGGGCACACGCGCTCAGACATGGGGCCTCACCCTGGGCCAGCTATGCCCCTGGGCCACCAGGGGAGTGTCACATGGGGGCAGGACGCCCTGCTCTGCACGCTGGTGACGTGACCTCAGGTGTGGCCCGCGCCCCGTGGATTAGGGGGCTGGGGTGGGGTGGTCTGGAGTCTCCTCTGACAGCAACGAAAGAGGGTAGATACCCTGGGGGCCACGGCCCACAAGGCCACGTAAGGTGCAGAGGACGGAACCCAACAGACAAGCGCTCAAAGTGGTTGTGGAGGGTGGAGAGGACAGAGAGGCCTAAACCCTCAACCTGGGTGACGGCCTGAGTTACACGGCCACGGCACAGCGGGAGGGGAGCCAGGGTCCACGGCCCAGGGCAGCGCGGGGCCAGCCGGTTTCAAGTGGGAATGGAGTGGGGCGCAGCTCACACTCTGGGTGCCTCTCCCACTCGGGTCTCGGGAATGTGCTCTTGGACCCACGGCCGACAACACCTTCCTAGTGTGTGTCCGCTCTAATGACTGACCAGGACACCAGCGCTGCCTGGTGAGCCCTCAGAAGGACAGCTCCTCTGCGAACGAAGCCCACAGCCCAAGAACCCTCCCAGGTCCTGCAGCCAGGGCAGAGGACGCCATCCACGAGGCCCCGCCCACTGCAGCCACAGGAAGGAGGATACGGACTGGCGCTGGTGCGACTCAGCCTCCCCAGCTAGTGGGGCACCCGCAATTCCTCGACTGACCTAGGTCAGATAAAGGGGTGAATCACTGATATGTGTTCTTACACAAGCTGAGATACAATCAGAGTAAATACACTAAACCCTAAAGCCATGCTTAAAGGTAAACTAGGGAAGATAAAGTCGGTGTTCAGAAGTTCGATTTATCAGTTTGCTCAGCTACAGCCAAATGGGCGGTGTATTTCCAGGAACTCTGACCACAGTGTCTAACAGTAGTAACAACCGGTCCTAACAGAAGTCTCTCAGGCGCAGAGCAGGTGCTGGCACCGCACTCGACCTCATAAACTCTATGCCAGTGACGTTACCACCCCAGCCTCACAAACACCAGGGCTGGAAACCGGACACAAAGCCCCTGGTTCCCCAGGGGACTGTGGTCTTGTGGCTACTACAGGTTTGTTGGTGATTTACTTTTTAATTTGTTGTCTAGAAATGCCATGGTCTTGTATGTTTATTGATTTTTTTAAATTTAATTTTTGTTTTTTGTCTTTTTGAGATAGGGTTTCACTATGCAGTTCAGGCTGGCCTTGAACTCACTTTGTAGCCCAGGCTGACTTTGAACTCACAGCAATCCTCCTGTCTCAGCCTCCATGAGTACTGGGATTACAGACATGCACCACCACACCTGGCAGCATGTTGATTTTCTGTCCTTCAACTTTCTTGAATTAATCTGTTTTAACAGTTTTTGGTGGAGTCTTTTGTGTTTTCTATGGATAAGACCTCATTACCTGGAAATGGACAGTTTGATTTATCCCCTTCCTCCCTTCCTCTCTCTCTCCCTTCCTTCCTCTTTCTTTCCTTCCTTCTCCTTCCTTCCTCCCTCCCTCCTTCCTTTCCTGCTTCCTTCCTTCCTCCCTCCCTTCCTCCCTCCTTTCTTCCTTCTCTTGCCCGACTGCTTTGAGAGAGCAGCACGCTCACCCCGACCCTGACCTTCAGCTTCTCTGCTGTGAGTTGGTGCTGGCTGTGGGCTATCACACCTGGACACAGTGGGGCCATAGCAACGCCGCGGTACTGACCTGACCCAGCTCCTCGTTCAGGTCGGATGTGTTGACGAGCGGCCCCTCGCCGGTGTCCTCATCGAACATGTCCTCGTCCCAGGTGATGAAGTAGGAGCCCAGGAATTTCTGCATCTCCACCGTGACGTACATGGACACGGGGATGATATAGTTGAAGAGGACCATGAAGGCCAGGAAGTCGGTGAAGGCTCTGAGAAACTGAGAGTGCAGGCACGTCAGAGGGCGAGGCCACAGGGACGCCGAGTGCCCTGTGTGACCAGGGAAAGTCCCACTCTTGTCCTGCCCCAACCCTAACCTTGAGGAACAAAGTCTGGTAAAAACGGTTTTCTGAACAGATTAATTCCTCTCTCTGCAGCTGTGGGCTGTGAGACGGGCTGGTGAGCGAAGCCTGGAGACATGGCCTGGGTGTGCACACAGCCAGCCTGGGTGTTCCGCTGGCAGAGCAACCCCTTTCTCTGTGTTCTTAACACTGTGCAGCATTTACCTTAAGGCCGTGGGCAAGCTCGTGGGCTCCGGGCTCCCTGTGAACACAGGCTCTGCAGCACACAGCCCCAGGCCTCTCCCCAAGACTGACACCTCCCCTCTGCATACTCACACCAGGCAGCAGGCGCAGCTGCGGCTCTAACCCTGGGCCTGAGCACCCACCTGGCAGGGCCTCCTGTGTCCATGTGGCACCCTTCCCTCCCACCCCTGCCCAGCAGCCACCCCGACGGCGCAAAGGCGGCTGCTGTCAGTACCAGGTTCCTCTGCCTCTCCGCCTCGGTTTTCTGGTTGTACCACGGCTCATCGCGGAAGGGTTCGCTCTGCCACACGTACTTGAGGATGGTGTTGACCAGGGCCTTGCTGATGAGGATGCAGAGGTACACGATGAGGAACACGTTCATGGACCTGGAACGGAGCATGGGGCCTGCTCAGTGGTGGCCAGGGCACACTGTGCCAGCCTGTCCTCGTGGGTCCCGGACGGTGGAGGAAATGGGCCTGGCACAGTGCTGGGTCAAGGGAGCGCCCACCTGGCACCCTGGGCGTGAGAGCCAGCTCCACGGCCACTGAGGACTCGCACTGGCAGGGAAACCACAGTAGGAGGTGTCCCTGTCACCCCACCCCAACCAGAGAAGCCACCACAGCCCTCGGCTGTGCGACTGCATGCATGCCTTGAGCAGCAAGGCCCGGCAATGCCGGCCGGCCTCACGCTGTGGCTGTCGCCTCACTGGGGCAGGGAGCCTTACTTCTCCACAGCAGATCGTTTCTGAGACTTGGACTGGTAGTTCAAGGCCATCTTGGTCTCCATTCCCGTATAGATGGCTACCCCTGAAAGCAGAAAGGACACCTGATGACGGCGGCACCCAGAGGTGCCCAGGGCCTATGTGAGCCCCATGCGTGACCCGCACACAGGTACACCCGGCACCCACGTGTGAGCAGCACGCAGTAGCAGGAAGTGGATCCCAGAGAACACAGGCCACTTCTGGCTTCACCCGGGGCACACCGCCACAGGCACGCGCAGTCCCTCGCGAGGGCTTCCTCCTGCCTGCAGTGCGGCCTCCTCTAGGCCCGAAAGGCCCTGTCCTGGGCTTTCGCACGGCAGCTACGTGCGCCTACCTCTGTGTTGTGTCACCTTTTAAAGCACGGCAAACAGCCCGCACACCGGCGCACATATGCACGCATGCAGGCACGCAGACCGAACGTCCTCCTGAACAGCGCTGTGCCAATCTCTCACATTGTAATTTCCATTTTCTGCCCCTTTGCCATGCAGCCCTGCTTCCTGGGGCCCTCCCTCCACGACCTCAATCCCCCCAGCACCCAGGTTATCAGGGAAAATCTGCAGGCCTCAGGCCCCGTCCCGGCCCTTGGCCAGGCGGAGTCGGCCCTGCTGAGCCCTGGGCTTCAGAGCGCTCACTCCCGGAGGACTCACTCACCGAAGATCCTCTCGGTGTTCTTGAGGGTGGCTCCTCGCAGCAGCAGGTTCTCCGAGCCCAGCGGCCTGTGGAGACAGGGCGACCAGAGCAGCTGTGTGTCACGTGCCAGGGGCCTCGGAGGAGGTGCAACCTGGCCGTGACCCAGAGACCGTGAGACAAGTGTTCCAAGGGCATTTCCATCGAAGCCCACGAGCCACGATCCCCCAGTGCCGCCATCTGGGGAGCTGTCAGAACTGTCACCCCCAATCCCTGGCATCAGAGACCCTGGGGCAGGGTCCTGCAACTCCCCTTCAAGTCTCAGCTTGAGGACAGCTGTACCGCGTCCCAGAACATTCTGGAAAGGCAGAAGGTGCGAGTCTCTCACTGGGCATCGAACCAAGGCCTGGCATTCAGCTACAGCCCCGGCCCTTTTTAATTTTTATAATTTTACTAAGTCACTGGGTTGCCCAGGCTGGCTTCAACTTGTGAACCTCCTGCCTCAGCCTCCTAGAGTGTGTGATACCCACAGTCCCAGCTCCAAGGCCTGAGTCTCATCCTGCACTTGGCTGTCTCCATCACACCTCCTAGGGGCAGGGAGTCCCACTTTGTGCAACAGGTTTCTAAGGATGAAGGAAGGGGCACGCGGCCTTTGTAATCGGGAGGTCAGCCAGTCCGACAGCAGGTGACTGACAGGCTGCTCTGGGGACCTAAATCTCGACCTGAGAAGCAGCACTGCTCTAGGCAGTGGCCATGGCGAGTGGTCGAGGGCTTGGCTGTTGGGCCCCGTCGTAGCAGCTCTTGGGTGACGAAGCAGCACGACCTCCTGCATCCTAAGCACTGGAGGAAAAATGAGACAGAATTCCAGACTTTGCTGCTGGTGACATCCGAGAAACCCTCCTGGAGGATAGTGGGAAGGGGCAGAAGGGTCTGCTGAGGCCTGCTTCCACTTGTGTATTAGTTTCCTCTTCCTGAGGACAGTGGGAACCTACTGAGTATCAGGCTCCTAATGTGCATTCAGCAAGTGCGGCAGACACGGTGCAGACTGCGCCCCCTGGAGGCATGGACAGAAGGTGTGGAGGCCAAGGTACTCGCCGCCATTGGGCGCCTCAGCCGCGGCCAGGGTCTGACAACCACTTGGGGCGCCTCCTGGGCTGAGCAGGGCTGTCAGGCTCTGTCAGTACGCAGCTCGCTAACCGTAACTCCAGGCACGAGCATTTATGGAAGCAAACAGCCTGTTTAAAGTGGGTCTCTGGGAAGTCTAAAAATAATTCACTTGAGAGAGTGCTGTGCTAGTCTGGACAGGAGGAAGAAACACCCCTGAGCGGCCCGGCGGGTGGCGATGGGGTCGAGCACGTAAGTGCGCAGAGGGCTCCCGGCAGTGTCTCCAGCCTCTCGAGGAGACGCGCCAGGCACCGGCACTCAGGCAGCCGTTTACCGTGCGGTGGTTTCCCTCCACGTTTGTCCCCAGCCTGGCCGATGCCGCCATTAACACAATACCAGGCAGAACTCGGACAGTCCTTAGAGTGGAAGAAAAATAATTTCTCCAACAAGTGGAGTTTATGGAAAAGGAACAGCTTCAAAACCTACACAAAGCCAATTCCCAGACTGGAAAATATGCATACCTCCCTGGCGGACAACCGCTCATTTCTGAGATGTCAGGTGCCAGGAGCCCTGGTGGGGCAGGCAGCTCCCAGGGCACCCGAAGGCAGAAGCACTGGTCAGACTCAACCCGCACACGGGCCCTCCGCACCTAGGGAACCAGTGGTGATGGGAGCCCCGTGCTTCCCTGGGGTGCAGCCTGGCTTTCAAGACCCAGTGATGAGGGAAAAGTTATCATAAAGGCCCCAACTTCTAACCAGCAGCCTGAGCCCAGAAGACTCACCTCACCACGGGGTCACTGAGGTCGTTGTAAACATTGATACGCCCAACAAACCTGCAGGAGGAGAGCGAGTCAGGGCTGCGTGAGCTCCGTGGCCTCCCTGGGGGCATGCGCAAGGCGGAGGTGCCGACTCCACATCTGTGTCCCGCCCTTTACCTTCAGTTCTCCCAGCCCACAGCACAACTGACTCACACTGGTTTACAACTGGCTTCCCCACAACAAAGCAGCCTCTTTTATGCAGTAAATTTAATCCCATTGAGCCTCTTTAGTACATATCAAAAGCTATGGATCCAAACAGGGACAGTCTAGGAACATGCCTGACGTCATCATGTCTGACTGGGTTGAACTCAGCAGTGGCCACGCCCGTCCACACGTGGCCCGCCTACTCACAGGCAGTGCTCACACCTGGCCTCACGCACCCCGCTTACTTGTAGAGGTCAGGCTGCGGCTGCTCACACTCGATGGTGGCGTGCAGGGCGTCGATGTCCTCCTCGGTGTGGAAGCCCTTGGTGTCCTGGACGGCGTAGTGAGTCTGCAGGGGACAGGAGACGGGACTCGCCCTGGGCTCCACTGGGCTGTGGTGTCCATACGGGTGTGGCCCTGCTACACGCAGGAGCCTGATCCATGGGCCTGTTCTACAGCACGGGAAGATGCCCGACCCACTCTGCTTGCTGAAGTCAAGAGACAGGACATGTCCTTTCCTCAGCACCGCAGGAGAGCACAAGGCCGGGCTCCTTCACACGGGCACCTAGGTCTATCTGTCCTACTGCAGCCACACCAGGGTGCAGATTCTGGACCGAACGGCTCCCTGGCTCACACGCCCCATGCTGCTGAGACGGCTCGTCATTCTGCTCTCCCAGCTCTGCCCCAGATGTCCTGGACAAGTGGGCCCAGTGTGGCTCCTGCAGAACTGTCTGGTGCTGGGACCAGACAGCCTCGAAGCCTGACTGTGCCCCACGGTGCAGGCTTCGTGCTCCTGACATGGGCAGCAGGCTGGTGCCCACACCGATGCTCAGTCTAGGTCCTCAGTGACAGTGCCGGCCACGCACAGCCTGTGTGCCGGGACACTGGGCGTGGGGGCTGTGCCCACTCTGCTAGGGGAGCACGTGTGGGGCTGTTAGGAGGCTCGGCACCTCCGTGTCCTCTCTCACGCCCCCTCCCATGTCCCCAGCAATCAAGTGTGGGAAGACACAGTTTGTAGTGCATGACCTCAGAGGGCTGTGACGTCACACTGGGCGTTCAGTGCACACCCACCACTTCGGGGAATTTCCCATTATCTTCTCCCAAGAGTCCCCGCAGGAAGGTCTGTCCCTGATTTGCAGATGTGAACAGTTCAGAGAGGGCAGAAAGACCGTCCGGGTCATAAGAGCAGTGTGGGAACCCCGGGTTGCCAGGCCCTTCCCATGCCCCGAAAGCCCCAAGGAAAGGGTTCTCGAAACTCCATCCTCAGCAAAATGCTGGAAGCAACTCCAGAGAACACAGGAAAGTGCAAAGCTCGGACACCAAGGTGGGTGTGGAGTGGTGAGCCCACTGCTTTCCAGCTTTGGACTAGAGTGAATGCCGCAAGCTTTCATTTTGGACGGCGAGGCCCTGGGTGCCTGAGACAACCACCACATGGTCGGGGCAGAGTGGACAGCACACTCGGCCATTGGAGGGCGAGGGCTAGGAGGTCTCAGGGTGATGGGACCTTGACCTCTTCCCAAGCACACAGTAAGCCCTCGAATCAGGCAGGACCTGCCGTCCCAGCTGCCTTGTCACAACTGCTCACAGCAGAGCACTGATTCTCCAGGGAAGGCACCACAGGAAGTGTAAAACACACGCTGCACAAGTCCACAAGCCCACGGAACTTTGGTGATTTGTGAGAGAATTTCTCCACTCCACATTAGAAGCCATCTACGCCCACAGGCATCACCTGAACATTCAATCTGAGGTCTCGGCAACAGCTGACTCTACCCTCCTACTGTCCCTCTTGTGACCTCCTTGGAAACTTCCAGATCCTTTTAAGTAAGACAAACCTTATAATTAATAGTGCTCTGGTTTTCCTCTTGTGATTATTACAATTTTCGTAGGAGCAACTGTCCGTGTGGAATTCCACGCTGAGTGTAACTATAGCTCCAGAAAACCCCTTTAATATTGTTGATAAAGAACTGAAAGCAATAACCAGGCAGGAGCTAGACTGTGTGGCTTCTCATGTAAGTCAGAACAGGAAAGATGCTAATTCTGAACGACCAAGTGAAGACCCTGAATCGGCAGGACAGTGTTCACTGAGTCTGTGACCTCGCTCCAGTGGGGCCACCTGGCTCATGCGGAAGTTACTCTGTCTACCCGCGCTAGCTGCTCGCCTCGGACATTTCAGGCGGAAAGCAAGAAGTAGAGGACACAAAAGCCAGAGTAACGGGGACTGGCCGTGCGAGCTCTGGTGTTCCTTGAGGCCTGGACTTCAATGTCCCCAGCCCAGCCTGGCCCTTGGCCCCTGACTATGTCTCAGGCGCGGCACATTACTTTATGGCTTGACTCTCCGTCCAAGCTGGCGGTGGTCACGTGGCAGGTCCCATCACCCCGGTTGCTGGACAGGAAGATTAAGTCACAGGGAAAGGTCTCGTCCTCCTTGACCATGACGATGTCCCCGACCTGCACACAAAACAGAATGGGCGGTGAGCCGAGCTCCACCTCTGGGGGGAGGGTGCCGCTGGGGGGAGGGCGCCACTGGGTGGGGCTCCCTCCGGCAGGTACGGTCTCACTCAGACACCAGCATGAGTTATTACAGCGTGGCGCAGCGATCTGATTCCCTCAGGACTGACACGGGGAGGAGGAGCTTCCCATTAATGACAGGGAGCAACGGGCCTGCCGGGCCAGAACTTGCAGCTACCAGAACCTCATTCCTCACAAATAAAGAACTCAAAGGGACCCGAATGTCAGCGCGAGACATGGAACCACCAAACACTGAGCCAGGGGCCAGGCCTGGACAGAGGCCTGGTCACACTGCCGAAGCAGGATCCCTAAGGAAAAGGCACCAAATCCACACGATCAGAGCTGAAAACTGCAGCCTGAAGAGCCCACACGTCAGGCAAAGTACAGGAACTCCCGCAACTCAACCGTGAAAAGAACGGTGTCGTGTGTAGCACCAACTCCCCGCCATCGAAGTGCTCAGTGTGGACTCACAAAAGTAAAAATAAAATTGAGGACAGAGGAGGAAACACTGAAAGCACGGGCCGACAGGAGTGAAATTCAGGGAGACAGGGTCACACAGTCACGGTAAGTACAAAAGCAAAGGCCCAACAAGCAAATGCACAAGTTAGGAAACAATCAGTAAACAAACATGGGGAATATTTAGAAGCAAACAAAACATAAACGGAACATAAAAACAATCTCAACATAAAAACAATCTCAGCCTAAGCAAGTGGGGAATGGGAACAGACAGGAAGAGGATTTGTGGAGAGGGCTCCAGGCGCACCTGGCCAGCCCCGGGGAGAGCGAATGCAAACCACAACCCCTCACACAGGAAACAGAGGAGCTGTCCAGTGCCAGCAAGGCTGCCGGGAGCCTTGTTCACAGGGCCGCTCTGGAGGTGTTGGTGGGGCTGCTCCTGAATCTAAAGTGACTGTAACACAGCCAGCAGGTCACCTCGGGGGCTTTTATGCCAAGGCAAGGAAATCTATTGCCACAGAACAGCCTGTACACAGATGCACGCAGTAGCCCGAGGGAAAACACCTCACTGTCCTTCACCTGTGACTGGCTAGACTCGGTGTGTGTGCGCGTGTGCGTGCGGTGACACCCACAGCGGCATGGGACAGGCCATCTGACTGTGTGACCCTCTGGAGATGAGCTAATCCTCGGATGGTCGGGGTGGGGAGAGGAACACAAGGCCTCTATTATTTCTCACGACCGAGCGACTCTGTGATTATCCAAAATAAAGATTACAGAGGGAAAACAAATGGGGGGGTGCTTTCATTCGCGCAGCCCTCAGAAGCCACATCATCCTGCCCCGTTGAGGCCAGGCCTGGCTGCGACAGCCTTCTGCCCACTGGCCGGGCACAGTGGGTCAACCCTCTGGCCAGACTCCAGGTACCGGGTGGCACCCGCTGTTGCAGGCCAAGGCACTGAAACTCAGGTGCCCACGGAGACGCTGTCCAGACCGATCTTAGGATCGGTGCTGGCCTCAAAGTGCAGGAGGTGCTGTGAAGGGAACAGGACGGCCACAAGGCGGCCCGCGTTCAGCGGTCTGTCCACAGGCAGGTGGTGTCCGTGGCCTGTCTGCACCCAGTGCTGGGACCCCCCCACGCTGGGATGCGGCCCCAAGCGGATGAGGAACGCAAGCACAGGGCTGTGCTGGGTGACCACACACGGGAGAGCTGGAAGGAGCTGGCATGTACAGGGCAGCGGCTGGCAGAGGCCCTGAGGACCAGCCTGGGCTGTGGAGCGGGGTGGGGCTGCAGAGGCGCTGTCTGCACCGGCGCTGTCCACGCTCCCCACCCAGAACCCGGGTGTCCTGCCAGGGTGGTAGCCCGGCTGGCGCTGCCGCCAGCAGAGGGGGGGGCAGGCATGCGACGGGAGGTAACTGGGCCCGTCTCAGCACTGCGCTGGCTGTCCACACACCAGGGTGGCTGCCACAGCACATGGGGTGCAGAGCCACTGCGCACACACTGGTGCAGCGAGGCTGCATGAGAACCTCTTACACCAGCTAAACCTGCGGCACGGGAATGCACACCGGTGGCACCCACTCACCCTCAGCTTGCGGCTCTGCTTGCGCACCAGCTTGCCGTGCTGGATGAAGTGCACGGGGCACTGGTTCATGGCGTTGTCGGCTTTGTGGCGGAGCCAGTCTTCATACCCCTGGGCGGGAGGGAGGGAGAGGGCAGGTTAACAGTGCAGCAGGCAGCACGTTCTGCCAGTGGTCGGCCCGCATGACACATGCTCTCCTGGGCCTTCACAGCTTGGTTAGACATTTCCCCAGCAGTGTGGGCTGCTGGAAGCTCCTGCAGGTGCCTCTCTGTCACTGCACTGCTGTGCCTTTCCTATACCCTCAGGATAAGCCCTGAAAAGGAAATGTCTGAGCCAACCTTCAGCAAGCGTCGGAGGCTTCTGCCGCGACACATCCAGCCACCAAGGTATCACCCACTTACCCTATGGACAGCAAGAGCCAGGCCAGCCTAGCGGGTCCAAGAGAGGCACCAGCCTAGCATGTCTGACAGAGGTGCCAGCTCTGGAGTCTGCATTTCCAGGCTGCCCCGCACAGTTTTATATTTAAGGAGCCCACATGTTTCCCGTGGAGGACTGGACTCCCGGGGGGACTCAGGGACTCTGAGGACACACACGTGCCAGCTAACACGGGCCCTGTATTAGCACGTCCGTCGTGAAGGGCTGCACCCACCCCAGGCCTCACAGTGTTCCAGGTCTTTTAAAAAAAGACTAACACTAGAAAAGCATAGCTTTGCTGGCAAGAAGGTGAGCATCGGGAAGTGCGCTAGAAGCCGCTGCTCTGACAACCGTCCAGACATCTGAAAGGAGGCGCTGACTTCTAAACACGAAAACCGACAGGTTCGACACTGCTGGCAGAGAATGGACTCCGCTCTACAGCACAGAGAGAACCCTTACAACGCTCCCTAAAAAGACACATATCCCCATGGACACAGGTGAAGGATCCGAAGACATCTCTGTACAAAGACACAGAGGTGAACAGTTAGCATGTGACAGGAGGCAGCACCTTGCTGTGCCTGGCCACCCTGGGCGGTGACAGTGAAGAGGCCGCCGATGCCGAGCCTGAGGAGGCCACCGAGGCACGGGAGCCCTCACGGGCTGCGTGAGGAGCAAGTCCAGGGCAGTCCCTCTGGACGCCGCTGCTCAGGCCCCGGAGAAGCCTGCTCCCGGGCACAGACCCCAAGACTCTAGGCCGCTCTGCCCCCCTGCAAGTACTGTGCCCACCCAGCCGTCAGTTAAAATAAATGTACAAATAAAATATATTTTTCCACCCAGGGGTCACTGTCGAATCATGACTCACGCCTTGGACTTCTGCAGGGGTATGCTGCCTTGACCAAGGGGCCAGGCCCAGGAAGTCTACACAGCGTGTCTCCCTGGCTGCCTGGGGAGGTACAGATCCAGACTCAAAGGCACCAGACGAGCAGCCCCCTCTCTGACAAACTCAGGCGTCAGACTGCAGCACTCTCGGACGCAAAGACCAGCCTTGTCCACGCCTCTGTGCAGCAGCCATCACACTCGATGGCCCTGGCCGGCAGAGGTGGCTGGGCGGGCGAGCTGCTGCCTCCTGGCTCATGGTCTCGCACCTGCTTGATGGCCGTGACGGTGATGACAAAGAACAGTGGGAGTCCGCTGGTCACCGGGCTTGTGGGCGTGTCGATGATCAGCTGCAGGGATTTGCAGAAGCACCATTAGCAGGAGGCAGCTGCGCCCCACACCACCAGGTGTCTAGGGCCCTGTGCTGGGACAGGTGCCCTGCCAGCAGGCAAGCAGGTGGGAGGTTCACCCCCTCACACTCTCTGGACTGTGACCCGAGTGCCACCTGGTGAATGGACACCCTCAAAGTAGGCCCATCTAGGAAGCGCAGAGACAGAGTCGGTGCGCAAATGCCTTTCAGTGACTACGCCGCTGCTGCTGTTGCACTTTAAGGACACCAGATGGATATTTCATTGCTGGGGAAACTTAAAAATCACTCATTCATATTTTTATGACTTAAAACATGGCACTGTGTTCTCCAAACACAGGTAGAGAACACACCCTCAATGGTGTTTTCTGTCCTCTCACCTTTAAAGTGCAAGTTCTCTGACTTGTCTCAGTAACAGCAGTACACTTAGGATCAGCCTCTGAAAGCGGGGGTGCACCAGTCCCTTAGTCCAGGAGGGATGTGGCTGGAGGGTCAGGGTGCACACAGCAACCCCAGGGGCCCAGCTGAGGCCCCGTGGCTCCCCAGGCTGCAGGTGGGCACCAAGCATCAGCTACATAGACAGGAAACCAGGAGCACTCACCTGTACCAGAAATATGATGAGAAAGTAGAAGTTGGCGATTCTCCTGAACTGTTCAAATAAGTTCTTAGGGATGAAGTTCCAAAATGTGTACTGCACAAAAGAAAACCAAGGAAGTCGCTTTGATCAGATTCTACTTTTTAACATAATAAGCAGCACTAGACTTCAAAACACAAAATGTTTAGTTTTAGATACAAAATTTGTAATTCAAAATTTAGTGTTTGTTGCAGTCTTTCCATTTGTTCACCCAAAAGATAAACTCCTGAAATAGAAGGTACACTCCAAAGCCAGCATGTATGAGTTCTCTAATTCCAGAGAATTCAAGACAAAATGTAAAGTCACTCGATGACAGCTGTACTGTAGAGACATCTTCCATCAAACCCAAGCCTATCATGGTTACCCTGCACCCAGACACCAGGCAGCACTGCCTCGTCATTCACCTCCCAGCTACCCTTGTGCCACAGGGTGGCCAGGTGTCATGGCAAGCTGAGAGGACCTCCCAGCCAGTGGGAAGAGGCGTCCACACCTGGGGATGTCATGTCTACACCGCAAGGCTAGAGTTAGGTGGCTCAGTGTCTGCCTGGGAGGGTGCAGGACCCACTTGGCCAGGTGCAGTGTCTACACGGCGGGATGGAGTGTCCCCACAGTGGGATCAAGGTTAGCGCCAGGCAGGGTTCATATCCACACTGCAGGGCATGCTGTCCACACTGCAGGGTGCAGTGTCTCCAGTGGCAGCAGGGCCCGGCCCATTGTTGGAGAGTGCAGGGAAGAGAGGAGAGAGGAGGTTCTGGCTGCTGTGTGCCCCGACTTTTCACTCAACCTCTGTGTCCAGAACGAGTGCCCGATGCCACTGGCCCAGTCAACCCAAGTCTGTACACTGTCACACCTTTCCCTTGATTTCTCTCTGTGCATGAGTACCATGTATCCTGGCCCTGTCCTTTGTGTCTAACAGCATGCGGTCTTTGCTCCCAGGTGGAGCATGCGGCCCTCTATTTATATTGGCCTCAAACTCCAAGATCAAAAACCTGAGTTCCCAACAAAGAACCTCTCACCCCGCATGGCTCTACCCACCCAGAACAAGCTGAGTGTGGTTTTAACACAGACTTCACAGGAATCCGTCTGTTTGTTTTTGTAGCATCTTTGTCTTAAGCTTCTAACTGCAATGGAGTGCATGGGAATCTGTCTTCTGCTCTCATCCACACAGACAAGGCAGCAGCACCTGCATAAAGGTGGCCCCAGATACAGCCCAGCTCTACCCCATCCCACAACACTCTCTCTACTTCCTGTCCCCTGCTCAAGCACCCACGCGTGGGCTGGGTGCCCCAGGAGGCTCCAGCTGCAGAAAGAGTCAGCTGCCCTCCCGACTCCCATATTGTCCACGCTTGTTTGCCTCCAGCCCTGTATCATACAAGTGCCTGCCAATATTCCCTCCCTTCCCCTGCTTTCAGTCTTTTACTTCTCTTACCAGGATCCTCTGCAGAGTAGGAGTTTAAAATTTTAATGGAGTCCAACTCACCAACTTTCCTCTCACGCACACTGCTTTTGGTAGGAATCCAAACCCCTACAAGACCAGGCGCTGTCCTACACTGTTGTTCAGCACCTTTGCTCTTCGTATGCTGTCCATTTTGGTCTCTGGCCCACTGGGTTTATCTTTGTGACGGATGTAAGATCAGTGTCTTGACGCTTTCCCCTGCATGTCCACTATTCCAGCACCATTATTTCCTCCCCAGTCCTCTGTCCATGGCTGGTGGGCTTGGGCTCCCTGATCTGCTCCTCACTCTTTCAGTGACCCCACACCCCCTGACTGTGGGCTCCTGGGAAGCCGTGTTGATGGTGTCAACCCTCCCCCTCTTCCACAATGGGTCCTGTGCCTTTTCATACAAATTCCGAGCTTGCGGCTGAGATCCACAAAGTAATGTGTTGGGCCCTTGACGGGAACTGAAGGGATGCCCCGGTCAGCTTGGTGCCCAGTTGCTCTCCCCATGGACAGGGCCATCTCTCCCTCACTCATCTACTCCAGGTCCTTTTGTTGGGTTTTGCAGCCTCTTCCTCCTGCAGTGACCATGTCCCAGCTACAGGTGCGGGTGACAAACGGCTCTGAGGACAGCAGCTAGGCTCACTGCCCGGCCACGGCAGGTCCTCAAAAACTACAGACCCCGAAATCTGCACATATAATCAACCTTTCATATTTTAAAGAAATATATATTTTCTCTTAAGAAGACCATAACAAAAAAAATCAATTACTTTCCATTAATTTTTAAAAGGAGATTTTGGGATATTCTATTCCCAGCATTTATATCTCACGCACTTTTGCTTTTTAAGAGATAACCCCAAAGTGGAATGATTTTAAGGTCTCACTCTCTGAAATCAGCCTTATTTCCCTGCACCCAGGCGACAATTCATCACCCATGAATTAATTAAACCATTTCCCCAAATTTCTAAAATACGTTACTTGGTAACAAAGTCACATGAACAGGAAAGGTTCCCACTTAAAATTCCACCTTTCACCTACTGAAATATTTACAGATGAAAACTGTCTAGGTCTAAAATTTCCTTTGCAGTGATCTGGGGACAGAAATCACAGAAGGAGCTACAGAGCCCTGGAGACCTCGTAGACAGGGACGGGAGGCAGAGATTCAGGATCCTACGCTTTATTTCCATACGGGAAGTCCCTGGCTTTTGAACATTCCAGTTGCAAACTGTCACAGACATGAATGGAGACCAGATTACGAACATCTGTAGATGCAAACAAATCGCAGAAGTGGCTTGCATGTCCACCTGATATTGCCGCAGCTGTGCTGCTGTGTGCTTACTGCACAGCCATCAGTCAGAGCCCAGGTGGTCCGGAAGCAAGAGGAAGAGCAGTGCTGGTGTGGAAAGGACGCCAGCATGCGCAAAGCAACACACACTGTATATTTGTGTCAAAGGTGTGTGAGACTCACTTTGTTGGACTTATGAACAAATCCAGCTTATGAATGGCCCCCTGGAATGGAACTTCTTTGTAAGTTGGGTACTTATTGTATAGCTTTAAGTTTCCACATTAAGAAGTTTTGATGATACATATGAAATGAAACATTGTCTTCTACAGTCCTTCCAAGTATGCAGATAAAGTTTTATTCAACTGTCAAAGTCAGACAGTAACACAGAGGCAAACCTTCAACCCAGGACATCTACCTGGGCACAAGACCGGGCCTGTAGCCAGGGACACACATGCACAGGCAAGAGGTCCCTGGCACACGGGAGCCGAGGAATGACGGCCTTGTAGGGAAAGAAATCCAGGGCAGATGAGCTGCGGCAGGCTGGCAGTGCCATGAAGGTCCGGGTGGCATGTCCCTCTATTGTGTGCGAGTTATAAACAGTTGTAAAGACAGGTCCAGCTGCTGGGGACACTCCAGGCATCCCTTCCACTCCCACAGCCCCTGTGCCCCACAGTGGCTGCTGGGTGACAAGCGTGACCCCAGAGTGCCTGGTAGACTTCAACTTCAGCTAACACCATCCGTGGAAGCAGCTAATCCTGGTAAGAGGGCAACTGGCTGAGGGACCTGAGAGTGCTCTCAGGAGAGGGACACTCCCCACACAGTGAAGGTGAGGCCACTGTTGCTATAGACAACCAATCAGAAAAGTGCTGCTTTCAATTCTTTATTTGAATCCAGTGCTGTTTGCAGGCCCAATCAAGAGATGCTCTTTTCAACCCTTCATTTGCATATGGGCATGGCCAACCCAAAGACACTCTTCCTGATCCTTCATTTACATATGGCAGAGCTGCTTTTCCATAGGACAGGACACCTGCCGCAGCACCTCACCTGCCACAGCACCTCACCTGCCTGAGGGGAGAACCCAGGATTCTGGATACAAAGGACCCCTGATCTCAGGGACTCTCCAGGGGTGACTCTGGGAATGTGGGCATCCAAGCCCCGGCATGGGACCCAGTGCCTGGTCCTCTGAAGGAAGCTGGAACTCGAGCCAACCCCTCATTGTACACAGGTGATCTGAGGCAGGTGGAACCAATCTCGGGGTCCATCAGCAAGGCCATGCCTTCCTGTACTCCACACCTGAGCCTCGTCTATGGCTGTTCTACCCTCAGCGGGGAACCTGATGCCCGAGTGGCCGCTTCTCCTCCTGTGAGCCAGGCTCTGCTGGAGTGCACCTCATGCCCGCCCCGCCTGAGTCTGTGCCCTGGCTCCTGGGCTACTGTTTCCCTGAAACAGATCCAGCCCCAGGTGAACATGTGATTGCCCTAACAAAACACCAGGGACCAGATGCTGGGCCATCTATCCACACAGTGCTGAGGCCCATCTTTCCTGTGACCAGAGCAGGCATGAGAAGGGCGGCAGGTCAGGACCCGCCGGACGCTGTGTGAGGAGAGGGAGGGCATCGCCCAGGGTGCAAGCTCAGGAACAGCGTGGCTGAGGCACGGAGCATCCCTGCTGGGGCCCTGGGCATGTTCTGTTCCCGTTTCCTCACACATACTTGGGGATGGTGCCCAACAGGGGCTTGGATACAAGCCAGTCATAGACACACGGTCCACACCCACCAGGCAGGACCCCTGATTCCCCGCTCCCCATAATCAGAGGAATTCTGCTGTCTTGGAGGCGTGGAGTGGTGCCGTAGATGAAAACTGCCCTTAGGTCTGTCGTGCCCAAGGGGAATGCAGGCTCTGCATAGATTGCACTTAAGAGTCCTAAGTGCAGCTCTGTGCGGGATGGCTGTGCCTGCCATAGTGCCTGGGGGAACCGCTCCCTGCTTCTCCTCCCACCAGGTGCTGTCCCCACCCCAGGAACTGGCCTCCTGAGGTCAAGCCACGGAGGCTGCAGAGGAACTGCCAGACAGGCACTCCACCGCAGGAGGGGCCTCCGTTGTGGACAGGAGCTTCACATGCTGAGGAGGAGGAGGCAAGCTGCTGGAGGTGGGCCCTGCAGCTCATGAATGGTCCTTTAACTTTGTAAGAAGAAACCAAAATTCTCACCCAAGAAAATATGGATGCAATTCTACTGACATTCTCCAGACTCTGTTGTAAAATTCTGTTTTATCAAGAAAACGGCCACAGGCCTTCCACTGCATGCTTGGGAATTCCACAGAGCTTGACCAGCCTCTAAGTCAAAGCCACTGCCAGCCGCCCCTGCTGGCTCCCAGGCCTCTCTGTCCAGGGAGGGCCTGTCTTTCCTGGATGGGATCCAGTGCCCTTCCTCTGAAACGGCACCTCTCTCGGGGCGGCTGCCAAATCAAGGCCGACCTGCCCCCACCAGGAACCAAGGTCTGGAGGCACACAGCGTGGTGTCCAGGCAGAATTGGCCAGTGCCAAGGGCTACCTCGCCCCACACCCACCCTCCAGTGGTCACCCGACCCCCGACCTCTCTCGCGGAGTGATGACCTAATTCCACTGGATCCTGCTCCAGCGCTTCCTGGTCTGAAGGGGCCCCGGGGAGAAGTGGTTTGTGACTCACTCCGGGACCTGCAGCTCCCATGTGGCCTTGCCTGGGTTTCCCTTCTCTGCACCCTGGGGCTCCTGCCCCGAAGGTTTGGAAAGGGGCTGGTCAGGGCTCTCCTAGGCAGGAGGGTGATGGGCAGCAGGAGAATTTGAAAACAGAAGCAAAGAAGCAGAATCACCCTATCCAGGTTTCTCCCCAAACCACAGCCAAGGCTTCAGCACCCCAGTCAGGGGCCTCCTGTGGCTGCTGCCTGTGGCCTGGAGCGCTCTCGGGGACTTCTGGGCTGACCAGAAGAGCCGGAGGCTGGGGCAGCCAAGGCCCAGCTCTGCCTGGGGGAGAAGCCGGGGCCTGGGTGAGTACGGGGTGAACAGGCTTCTGCCACACATTCCTGCAGGCTGGACATGGCACCCTTGCAGATAGCTGCCACCGTTTCAGGCTCCTGCACCAACTGACTGACGGACTGACTGACTGACGGACTGACTGACTGACCAACTAACCATACTGCCTGACACATGCAACCCAGGCGGAGCCCCTGGCCCACCGTCCTGTTACACAATGCGGGTTTCTAAGAACAGGACTTAGGGCCGGGGTTGTAACTCAGCGGTACAGCGCCTGCCTAGCAGGCACAAGGCCCTGAGTTCAAGTCCCAGTACCAAAAAGAAAAAAAAAGAATGGGACCAAGCCAGTCTCCACTTCTCGGCCATTGGGACTGGGGTTCACGGCACACAGAAATCCCCAAGGGCCGTGGTGAGCTGGCTGCGTGCACCGCACTCTGCAGACCCCTCTGGGGCGGGCTCCTCTTCGTTTATTGAGCGTGCTGACGCTTATTCAGCTGGGATTTTTGATCCTGAGCATTTACTTACCCACGCTGTTTCTAGTTATTAAAGTCAGAGTTTTAAAAAAAAAATCGATGTTACAAACAACCCTTTAACAAAGGCTTTGCAAGGCTAGACTTCTCTGCTGTCAAACGTGGACACACATGGGCCTCAGTGACGTTCGAAAAGGACTCGACAGCCCTGCCGCAGGCCTACACAGCAGGCGCGCCTGGGTGCAAGGTCAGCGCCCACCAGAAGGTCTGCTATTAGACCACATTCGGGGTGCCCTGGCAGGCAAAGCTGGCACCTAGGCCGCACCAGCAGATCCTAAACAGGCTTGGACGCCCCGTGCCCGGCACCTGGAGGTGCCCCTGCTCCACCCTGCTTCAATCTGGCAACTGACTTCTCGCCCACTGCTCTCCTGTGACTCCCCAGCGTCTCTGGCTCATGGGGAACCAGCCTCTGCCCGGTGCTGCTCTCCGCAGGGGCGGGGCTGGGTGGCTCCCGTGTTACACACGAGGAGCTGGCCTGGCCGGCACACCCCATCAGTGCAGCGGGAGGAGCTGCCGTCCCAGATTCAGCTCTGGCCTCTGCCTGGGACACGATCTTAATGGAGGCAAGCTCTGTGCAGGACGTGGCAGGCTGAGGAGTGGGTGGGAGAGACAGGGCTGGTGCAGCCCTCTGTGACCACCTGCAGGGACAGCCGTGCCTGCCCGGAAGGCCGAGCCCACTGAGGTTTCCCTCGGCAAGCAGGGGCCACTGCAGACCGCACGGGCTGCATGGATGGGGGGCGAGGCTACCTTGGAGGAGACGATCCTGTTGTCGGGGTACCTCTGCGGAATGTAGGCCTCGGCACCTAGCGGGGGCTCCTTGTGTCCCACGTAGATGGTGCGGCTGTCCACCCAGTTCTCCTCCCCGGCACACTGTGGGGAGAAACAAGGCCACGTCAGCCCAAACCAGGGCCCCTGCCAACGTCCGCACCCCGGCCAGCGCCTCTGCACCGAGACTCATCTTGCTCCAGGGCAGCCGCCCGCCAGGCCCCCGTGTCCCTGCTGCTTAGGCCTAGGCTCTGCTCATTGACCACGTCCCCAGGAGACACTGCGTGGCTGTCCGTGCCATGGGGGGCACGGGGTTCTCTGGAATGGCTGTTGTGGAAACAGCACACTTCCAGCTTGTCAGAAACGGAGCTCAACAGGCGGGTGGAGGCTTTTGGAGGAGGAGCAAGGCCGGCTTGTGGGAAGGAAGGGAGAACAGATGCCCATGTCCCTCCACCAGGCTGCAGGGAGGATGACCGGGCCTGACTGCATCCCAGAGTCAGAGCACAGCGCTGCAGTGAGGATGCAGCTCCATGAGAGGCATCTGCATGGGCACTCATCCCGCCCGGGCCGGGCACCGATACACCAAAAGGACCCAGGCACCAAAAGCCACCTCGAGCCACGGCCCACATCCCAGAACCACAGCAGCATCGAGGCTGCAGCCCCATGGTACCGCAGCAGAGGAGATCGAGTGCTCTCAGCTGCAGGGACACAGACGCGGGGGAGCCGGGGACTGCGCCCAGCCCTGGTATCCGGCTCCATCACCCAAGGGCAGTGCTGCATCCACAGAGCTGTCAGGAGACAGGTAAAACCACACGAGGTGCCTAGCTGGACCGGGGGAACAGGCCCCCAGCACCGTCCTGGTCCGTGGTCTGCACCTCTGTCCACAAGAAACGCTTGGCGTTTGTCCCCAGCACACAGCGTACCACCCTCGGGTAGATGTCGGCCTTTCCTCGTGAGCAGAACTTATCCTGAGTGCACACCCACGCTTCCCTGCTCCCTGGACACTGACACAAGTCGCCGTGTGAGCAGCCACACTCTCGGATCTGCAGAGATGGCAAAGTCACTTCCACAGGAGCGGAGGCTACCTGGTCCCTGGAAACTGGCGCAGACGTGACTGCTCCCAGGCCAGATCTACTCCACAGCACAGCTGTACCGAAACCACCTCCACAGCTGTTTGCCAGGCTGCGGCTCCTGGGAGGGACTGGGCCGAGACAGCACCTGGTGCTGGGAGGCCACAGGATGTCCAGGCTGAGTCTGCAGGCCACCGGCCCTCTTTTCTCCTAACACTGTAAAAACAAACTTCTTCTTTTTTTTTTGCCTTTTTGAGACAGGTCTCACTATGCAGTTCAGGTTGGCCTTGAACATACTTTGTAAGCCTCGAACTCCCAGCAATCCTCCTGCCTTGGCCTCCCGAGTGCTGGGATTAGAGACGTGCGCCACTGTGCCCAACTGTAATAACAAACTTAAAGTGCTGCAGGGAGTTTCTTTCTTATATATGCTCACTATACCACAATTCACACCAGGCCCAAGATGAGTCCCCTCGCTCAGTGCAGCCAGCAAGCCAGAAAGCTGGACACACGTGGGTCTAAAAAGACGCCCTCCTCCCCAGTGCTGCTGGCCAGGTGGACCAGTGCCCCAAGGCACCTCCCCACTGGAGCTCCACCTCTGCCGCCCCATCCCACCACGCCTGGAACAGGAGCTAAGGCCTTCACAATGCTCCGCACGTGGATCCCCACACGCCGAAGGGGGGCCCCCTGTCCCCGTCTCCAGACACAGCCACTGCCACAGCCACAGCTACTCCACGCTTTCTTGGGGACTCAGGAAACCACTGCAGACTGAGGGGGCACGGAAGAAGAAAGGCACACAGCTCCACACCAGTGTGGTGCTCCTGCAGATACCGGGTGGTGTCCAGATTCTGGGCACTATGGAAGCTGAAGCTCCCCGTCACATGGGGACAGACAGAGGAGTGCGGGTGTCTCCTGTCCCTTCCAGGGCAGCTGCTGGAGGCTGTGCCAGCCCTGCGCCTCACTGCCCACCCACCGCTGCCAAGGCCTCCCGGTGCCCCTAGAGTTCCTGCCCCACCATCTGCTCATCGCCCCTGGGGAATAAGGGACTTCTTGAAACAGGTGTGCGACTGGGACGATGCGCCAGGTGCTGTGCTCATCCCCACAGCTCACACCAGACCGCAGAGGGAAGGCGGGTGCAAGGGGACGGCCACAGGCAGGGACTGCACCCACTCTGTCCAGACAGTGAGGGGAGCTGGAAGCTGCCTCCCGATCTGCAGTGAAGTGGAAGGGTGTGGGAGGCAGGGGACACGCTGACCCAGCTTCACCCCTGCATCCAGGAGGAAGGCGCATTCAGGAAGAGACGCCTGGAATCCTGCAACACAGGAGCCGTGGGGCTGAGACAGGGCTGCACCGGCCTCTCGGGGTGGCTTCTGGCTCCTTCCCTCTGTCCTTCACAGGGACATTTCTGCCAAGGGGGAGTGTTAGGTACTGTCCGGTGCTGTCCTTCAGGTGCTGTCTGTCTGCATCTCTGTCCACATGGGTGGCCATGCCCAGTGCTGGGTGTGGTGGCTAGAGGGGTGACTCCAGCCTTGCTCTGAGGCTCTCACCAGGGACAGGCTGGCTTCAGGGCAGCGTGTGGCCAGGCCTTGGTTGCTCTCAGGGACCTGGGGGTGCACTGCTGGGTGCCAGCAATGCTGTTAAATATTAATCCCCACTGTCTCTGACTGTGCTCCCTGAGAGTCACTTGACTGATTTGCTTCCTTTAAATAGAACTTGGTCCCGAGTCTGGGCCGTCCCTGAGACCTTACCCCCATGGCTGACTGATAAAGTGCAGAGAGGCCATACTGGTACCTACGAGAAGCCCAGCAGATGCTGTGAGGGGCTCAGATCCATGCTGGCTCCTGCTCCTGGGAAGCGTCAGCAATGCCAGGATGCAAACACAGCAGTGAGGGCTCAACCAGTCGCCGTGGAAACAACCAAGGCAGGAAGGAGGAACAGGTGTGGACAAAGGCTTCCTGCCGGAGTGGGAAAAGGACCAGGCAGTGTGCATGGGGCCACCCTGCCCACCCTCAGTCCAGGTGTGGTCCAGACAACAGGTGGAGCGAGGAACTAAGCCACTGAGACTCCACAGTCAACAGCTTGCCACATTTGCACCAAATGAACTGTCTTACAAAAATAATTTCTTTGAACACTAGGATTATATAAAAAACCTGTTCACACAAGTAATGGCAGAAAACTTCCCTGACAGGGAGAAAGAATTTGACATGCAGTAAGTATGGCGTACAGAACTCCAATTAGCCATGATCAAAACAACAACAACAACATCTATAGCAAGGCATATAATAGTCAAGATTCCAGAAATTCAAACAAGAAGAGAACATGAAAAGTTGTTAAGAGAAAAGAAAAAAAACATCACCTATAAAGAAAAGCCCAAGAGAATCAGAGCAGACTTTTCAGCACAAACCCTCATGTCCAAGAGAGCTTGAAGTGAAGTATTTCAAGCCCCAAAAGAAAACAACCTCCAACCCAGATTGATGTACCCCACAAAACTATCTTTCAAAACTAATGGAGAAATAACTTCCATGATAAAGAACACCTGAAGAAATTCATGAACACCGTGTCAGCATTCAAAAATGTTCTGAAGGTCATTCTAGAAAGAGGTAACACCTACAAAGGAAAGCCCACAGAATCACAGTTGACTTCTCAACACAAACCCTCAAGTCAAGCACAGCTTGGAGTGAAGTATATCAAGCCCTAAAAGAAAACAGCCTCTAGCATAGATTGATGTATTCCACAAAACTATCTTTCAAAATTGATGAAAAACTAAGATACTTCCAGGGACAGGTGTGGTGGCACATGCCTGTAATCCCAGTACTCAGGAAGCTGAGTCAGGAGGCTGAGTCAGGAGGACTGCTGTGAGTTCAAGACCAGCCTGCATAGTGAGATCCTGCCTCAAACAAACAAAAAACCAAAACATAAAGATACTTCCTTGCTGGGTGTGGCGGTGCATGCCTGTAGTCCCAGCACTCGGGAGGCTGAGGCATGAGGGTCCTTGGGAGTTTGATGCCAGCCTAGGCTACAAAGTGAGCTCAAGGCCAGCCTGAACTGCATAGTGAGACCCTGTCTCCAAAAAAGAGATACTTCCTTGACAAAGAACACCTGAGGAAATTCATGAACACCAAATCAGCGCTCCAAAATGTTCTGAACATTCTAAAAAGAGATAACAAGGACTATAACTCCATGAACCCCAACAGAATGAATCCACTAGGGAAAGCAAACAATTAAATGGGGGCAGGGAAGCCAACAATGGGAAAATAACATGACAAGGGTAAGTCAATACATATCTGTTATAACCATCAATGTTAATGGTCTCAATTCACCAATCAAAAGAAACAGACTCGCAGAATGGATCAAGAAGCAAGATCCAACAATATGCTGCATGTAAGAAACACATTTAAGTCAAAAAGAAATTCACAGACTAAAAGTCAAAGGATGAAAAACAGTACTCCATGTGACAGGAACCCAGAAAAAAAGCAAGGGCAGCTATTCTATTTGCAAACAAAGTGTATTTTAAGCCAAGACTGATTAAGAGAGGCAAAGAAGGTCACCACATCCTTGTAAAGGGAACAATCCAAAAGAAACAGACAACAATTGTAACTATATATGCACCAAATACCAATGCATCCAAGTATATAAAACAAATATTAACGCACATGAAAAATCAAGTAAGTGATTGTATGGGGGATCTCAACACCCCTCTGTCACAAGTAGATCAACTAGACAAAAAATTAACAAAGAAATATTGGAACTCAACCAAACTTTTGAACAAATGGCTTCAAATGTCTACATAGTGCTCTACCCCACAGCATCAGAATACACATTCTTCTCAGCTGCACACAGGATGTCCTCCAAAACAGACCACAAATCAACTCACTGAATACGAGGACTGAACTCTGGGCCTTGCTCACTCTAAACGATCTACCTGCCACTGAGCTACAGTCCTAACCCTTTTAACAGCTGTTATTCTGAGACAGGGTCTCACTAAATTTCCCTAATTTGCAATCTTCCTGCGCCAGGACACTGAGAAACTAGGATTAC